AAAGGTCTTTCTTTTTCCATTGGTTCACCCCCCAAGTGGCTGCTATGGCCGGCACGCTGCGCCAATCTGAAGCCAGGAGCCAGGTACTTCCTCCTGGTCTCCCATGCGGGTGCAGGGCCCAAGCACTTGGGCCATCCTCCACTGCCTTCCCGGGCCACAGCAGAGAGCTGGGCTGGAAGAGGACCAACCGGGACAGAATCTGGTGCCCCAACCGGGACTAGAGCCCAGGGCGCCGCCGCCACCGGTAGAGGATTAGCCTAGCGAGCTGTGGTGCCGGCCCCGAGCACATATTCTATGCTACAAAGCCCTGTGGCCTCCCAGCTAAAGATCTCAGTCCTTGGAGTAGGCTAATAGGGTGAGGATCTGTTGCCAGCTCAACTTGCAGTAATTTTAGTTCCCTCTCTGGTGTAATTTCCTCACTCATTGAACAGTAGCAATGCCTGTTTTCTGTAACGTGGATTCAATGAGAAAAACTGTGAGAAGACTGACCATGTACTTGCAAAATACTTATCTTAGGAGGGAGACAGCCTTCCAGTTCACTCCAGGCTCCTCCAGACAGTTCCTGAAACACCTGGCACAAAGGAATAGTGATAAATGCTGTCACAGAGACTGAGTGTGGCCATGGGAGGCACCATGCCTAATGGTTAGAACCATGACATTTTACGTAAGTCCTAGCTGCAAATTGAGGCTCTAGGATTTGAATAGCAGATTCCAAAGAAGATATGCAGATGTACAAAGAGCACACAGAAAGATTCTCAGCAGTATTAATTATTGGGAAAATGCAAATCAGAACAACAATGAGGTATCACTTAACACTCACTAGGATGGCTGAAGTGGAGAGAACAGAAAACCACAGATGTTGTGAAGAACATCTAACAGAATCTCTGGAAGCCTTATATTTGCTGGTTGGGTTGTAAAGTGGTTCAGTCACTCTGGAAAAATAGTTTGACCATTCCTTAAAAGAGTTAAAACTAGAGTTGTCCTATGACCCAGCAATTCAACTCCTAGGTTTAACACAAAAATATTTAAAAACATACATCCACCCAGAACTTTTAGATGAATATTCATAGCAGCACAACTCATAATAACCTAAAATAGAGACTGCATAAAAGTCCAGCAACCACTGATGTGTAATCACACAATGGAGATATTCAGGGGAAAAAAAAGATACTCATTGCTTCATTACTGATACACTGAAACTTGAAAACATGTTGCTAAGTAAAAGAAGCTAGGCACAAAAAAAAATTCCATCCCAAGATTCTAAAATGTCTAGAATAAGAAAATCTATAGAGACAGCAAGAGATTAAGTGGTTGATTAGTGCTGGAGGGAATGAGGGAATGGGGAGTGACAGCTAATGAGTACAGTGCTGCTTGTTGGGATGATGAAAATATTCTAAAATTAAATTTTATAATGGTTATACAACTCTATATACTAAAACCACTGGATTGTATGCTTTAAGAGGGTGAATTTTGTGGTATCTGAATTACATCCCAGTAAAGCTTTTATTTAAAAATGCATGCTCTGCAGTCAACATTGGGCATTGGTTTTGTCTTCTGTAAAATAATGTATGTTATTGAGCCTAACTCAAAGGGCAGCAGTGAGGACATTAAAGGAGGAACTGCATGGGAAACCCATAGCATAAGAACTAATGCAATCAAGACTCAGGAATGCCTAGTGGCCAGTTGATGAATTGCCTTAAACACATGGACTTTCTTTTATCCACCCTAAAGAGTGGGGTTACCAATGCCTTTAGCAAAATAGGCCAGGATGCATGAAGACTGACTCTATCCATTACATCCTCAAGCTGTATGTGCTTTGGTTGGAATTACAGTCTTCTGGTTGTGATATCTGTTATTTATTTCTTAACTAATATAACTGAGACCTTACTCAAGATGTGCTCATGAAAAATTGCCCTTTTAATGGTGGAGCATTTAATGAGAATCTGGATTATCTACTGCATAAGTGCCCTTCATACAAATTAGCTTGGCCCTGGGTCCTAAGCTAAATTGGGCTCCCTGATTTCCCCTAAATGGCTTAATATTTTCTTATTAATCTCTGCCCTTGTTCACCTGATCTGGCTCTGCCCCCTCTTATGAATCTTTCTCCTTGGCAGATTTCTATGCCCTGACAAATGTTTCTTAAGACTGTCTTTGTATTTGACTCATGGTGGGTTTTTTTTTTTTTTTTTTTTTTTTTTTTTTGGACAGGAACAGTGTCTAGAAGCTATTCGGTCCATTTTCAAGTTGTCTCACCATCTCCCAGTGGAGTTGTAATGCTGCCAGTGCATTGAGTATCAGCAGTACTGGGCCAGTTTTGTTTCAGAACAAGACGAAGGTGGAGCTTTATGCAAAAGTTGGGTAGAGGAGAAGCAGTCATGCACAGTGGGTAGGAGACCAAGCTTGTATACACCGAACACAAGCAAACCACTAGCAGAGCCTCTGACATCAGAAAGATCAGGATCCAGGTCCTACTCAGTGAGTGTGGACAAATTTCATGGCCTCTTACATCTTCTATTTCAGTCCATGTCTATGAAACCTGAATAGTAAGCAGTACCTTACTCTGACATTTTTTTATGGAGCTAAACAAGTTGATGCATGTATTATGCTTTGAGATAAATGCTACCTGGTATTATTGTTATAATATTTCAAAGATTGAGGAAGTTCCAGCCATTAAAGGGATGATATTAGTGACTAAATAATTAGTGACTGAATGTGTTGAAGATATAGAGAATGGCACCTGTGATCAAGTGAGTTTACCTTTGCAGTAAATTATAGAACAAGGCTTAGGTCACTCCTGCCAAACACTGCCTGCTCAGATAGGGAGAGGTGACCAAGGGCCTTGTTTTTTAGCTAGGTATTTTATATAAATTTTATCATGATACATGATGCCTTTGTTCTTAGCTATAGTCTTTGACATATGCCTTTACAGAATCACAAGTTTTAATTTTTATGTTAATTATAGTTTGTAATTAGTTATCTGTGCATTTTACTAGCTTTATGGGATATTATTCAAGACTTTGCTATGCTAGGAGTCCAAGGGGAGTTGTGCAAAAGAACTCCTGGGAGCAAGGGACCACAGGTCCAAGTCTGGCACTGCGGGCGTTCCTGCTCTGCCTCTCCACCTCTCAGCATTGTATGTTCCATGTGCACCTCCCACTGGGTTGATTATAATGGCAAGAGCAACCATTCGCAGAAAGCTTACAATATATGCTGCACATACATAATCTCACCAGAATTACTATTAATGCTGGCTCTGTAAAGTAGATACTGTGTCTTCATTCAATAGATAAGGAGTTTAGGCTCCAAACAATTTAGTTGACTTAAAACAGAGGAACCGTAATTTGAAATGAGGCTGTCTGATTCTAAAGCTTTTTTTTTTTAACTTTTATTTAGTAAATATAAATTTCCAAAAGTACAGTTTATGGATCACAGTGGCTTTCCTCCCCCCATAACTTCCCTCCCACCCGCACCCCTCCCATCTCCCATTCCCTCTCCCATTCCATTCACATCAAGATTCATTTTCAATTCTCTTTATATACAGAAGATCGATTTAGTATATATTAAGTAAAGATTTCATCAGTTTGCACCCACACAGAACATAAAGTGTAAAATACTGTTTGAGTACTAGTTATAGCATTAATTCACATTGGACAACACATTAAGGACATTCTAAAGCTTGAACTTTCATATACACCTAGCATAATGCATAATACATTTTTATTTGCAGTCATCAAAACTTGGGCTTCTAGGGGCATACAGTTCATCTGTTGCCAGTGAGCAATAGCATTTGGCACAGAGGATGTGCTCCATAAGGGGTTGAGTAAGTGAATGAAATGAAAGTCTTGTTTTGTCAATAGAAAAGCACTTTGTCATAGTTAGCTACTGTTGTGTTATAAGGATGTCCTTAGATCACTCCCAACCACAGAGTGCACTAGAAAAGCCTTGCTTTGCACATCAGAGAGATGGAGGGAAGTGAGCTGTGGTCATCCCTAAGTTTCCCATCAGTGAGGAAAGACATGAAAGAGGAGGAATCAGAAGTTAACAGTGATGGTATTCTGGTAGATGCATATTGGAGGACCAGAGCATTCTGGTTTTAAGAACTATGTTCTACAGCCAGTCCTCTACCTAGGCTAAGTACTCATCTCATTTCAGATCTTATTTCTTACTGTGTGAACTTGCAGTGGCTACCTGAATGCTGTGACCTTCACCTTCATCATCTAAAAACTGAGATGGTTTGGTTATTGTGAAAAGTGGGGATAAAGTTTATAGAACATCTCCTAAAGCCCTTGCTCAGCTCACAGTAGCTCTCCTGTCCTTACATTATGTGTATATGATTGAACTCTTGGTTAATATGTGTTAGCAAAATATTATGTTAATAATAATTGAGAGAGCCCGTTGCAAGGTGTGGACACTGGGAACCAACTGGTATAGAAGCCTGTTTCCCTGCACACATGAGTTAGCAGAAGAGATATCATAAAATCATTTTTTAGTAATTGTCCCTGGGTCATTACTTGATACAAAACAATTACTCTGGAGTTTAATGGAATTGGGTGTCAGAAGGGTCTTGGAGCCTGGCCAAGGTATTATTAAATGTTGAAATGTAAGAGACTCAGTGCTAATACTAGTTTATAGGAATTTGGATGTGAACTCTTAGTGGGCAACTATGATTTGTTGAATAAGTAACAAATATTTAATTAATGCTTTACACATATTGCTTGATTTATTTATTTTACTGCCCTGTTGGGATGGGTATTTTTTAACTTTTCTTTTTCTGCCTTAGAAAACTAAGGCTCAGAGACAAGAAATATTTGCCTTTCCATTTAAATGCATAAAACCAGAATGTGTATCTAGGAGTATCACTGTTCTTTTCTCATGCGTCCAATGATTTGACTTTCCAGGAATGTAGATGAAACCAGAGAACAAATCATGCAGTTGTCTACACTTAAAGCCAATGGGGCCTGAACAACTGCCTACCTGATTGTGCTTTTCTCTGATTTTAGGTCAGGATCGCAGTGAAGCCACTTTGATAAAGAGGTTTAAAGGTGAAGGGGTCCGGTACAAAGCCAAACTTATCGGGATCGATGAAGTTTCTGCAGCTCGGGGAGACAAGTTATGTCAAGACTCCATGATGAAACTCAAGGTGCTGTGCCAACATTGTGTGTTCAGTGTCGTGGGTTTAATATGAATGAGGGAAAGAAATGACTCCCAGCTTTATGGTGACTAATTTCAATCATTTATTAGTAAATCACTTGGCTCACTGGTGAATCACTGTATTTATTCATTGGTAAGAGCACCTGCTGTGAGGAAGTATTTTGCTAAGCCTTGTTTTTATAATTTTTGAGTATATCATATTTTATTCTGTTTTATCTTTGTCACTTAACACCTGCAGATATGAAAGTACAAAATTAGTGGGTTGTGTAGTCCCACTCATTTAGTGAGTTTTTACCATTTTGTTGTTTTTAAGTACATTTGACATATGTCAACATATGGTGAAAGACGTTAAGGTAAAGGCTGATTTTGTTCATTCTTACACAGTTGGCTCCATGCATGTGTGGGTGCCACATTTATGGAGTCAACCAATTGTGGATTAAAATATTCAGAAAAAAATTGTATTTGTACTGAACATATAAAGGCTTTTCTCTTGCTATTATCCCCTTAAAATACATTATAATAACTGTTCACATAGCATTCAATAGATAAGGTATTGTAAGTAGCCTAGAAATGGCTTAAAATATGTGGGAGGTGTATGTAGGCTTTTTGCAAATACTGTGGCATTTGGTGTCAGGGACTTGTGTGTCCACTGATTTGGGTCTCCAGGGTGGATGTTCTGAAGCACTCCTGTGGATGCAGCAGGACCGCTGTCCCCTCTAATGTACCCTCAACTGGTCCCATACAAGGAAACGTTTTTGAAGGAATGTGTAGCTATAAATTGGGATTTGGAGTTGTCAAGAAGAGATTTCTGATTTTTTTACAAGGTTTTACACTAAGAAATAAAAATAAATTTGAAAAAAATGTTAAAAGCATAAAATAAGGAAATTATCCTGTTCAGCAACCTTAAAAATTCACAAAAAAGAACATAATTTGCTCCCAGGTTTTAGTCTTCAAATATTCTGATTCATTTTTAAAAAAAAGCCATGTGGAATATTGGAAAAACAAATCATTTAACAGGAAAAGTACAAATAGCTTATGCATTTAAAACATCTATAGTTTATTTTTCTGTTTATAGGTTTCACATATATTCATTATAAAATATTTTGAACTATAGAAAAGTATGTGGGAAACAAGTAAAATAACCCACTGTCTCATAAAAAATCAATGTCAACATTTTTGTGTATAATGTACAATCTCTCTGTGTTTTATATGTATAATATATGAAACATATCACATATATATAATAAAACTGGAAGTATAATTTACATAGTTTCTTATCTTTGGCTTTCCTGCTCATCTAATAATATATATAAGTATTTCTTTTGTCATATCTTCAGGCAGTCCATGAGAATACAGCTTAGCTAGTGAGATATATTTAAATGTAGGAAAAAAAAACAAAGGAGGAAAAAAAAACTGGCCTGGCTAAGAGCCTGAGAGTATTAAGGTGTTCACCTTATGCATCACCTGTTCTTTCATAGAAGCTTCATAAATCACAGCTGTTATTTTTGCTTATATAATACTGTTCTCTTAGCAGTTTAACATATAGATATAGATATGGATATAGATATAGATATGGATATAGATATGGATATAGATAGATATAATCAGATGCTGAATATCCTCGCACTGTGGCTCTAGGAGCCGTGATTTTAAAAACTCTTAATTTTTACACCGTGTATCCATTACCTTAATTTTATTTTTAAGCTGTTCTATAACCTTTGTTTAATAGTTATATATCCAGTGTAAATTGTACTAGAAATTTCCATATTGGATTTCCTGGATTTGACCAATGCAGACCCTGAGAGATAGAGGTGATGACAAAGTATTTGATTCCTACACACACATGAGTGCACTGTATTGCATTCTGGCTTCTGGCCTCAGCCCCTTATCCCTTGTAGACATACGAGGAGTAAACCAGTAGGTGGGATCCACCTCGCTCTCTTCCACCTTCTCCCTCCCTCTCTCTCCTTCCCCCTCTTCCCTTCTCTCCCTCCCTCCCTCCCCTCTCTGACTCACCTCCCCCCCTAGAAAAAAAGACATTAAAATCATGATTTCATAAATTATCTCCTTGGAAGAGGTTAATGGATTTTTATATTTAAAGTTAAATAATGTTATGAGCTATCAGGGCAGTCCACTAAAGAACCTTCTTCTTCCAAGTTCAAATGTGAACAGTCAACAGATGAAGGAGTTGGACAGAAGATTTCTGAATTCCAGCTCTGTGAATGGCCCGTAGGACATGGCATAAGCACACAGCTGCAGTGGCCACCCTTGAGTGGTGCAGGCTGTTTCCCTTTGTTGGTGAGAGAGTTCCATAACCACCGGCCTCCTGGCTCCCCCTGCCCCTGCCGGGCCCCAGCATAGGACCCATGACTGGTGCATGGGATCTGACCAGATCACAGCCTGTCAACCAGAAGGCAGATGGCATAGAGAGCCCAGAAGAAATTGAGCCCCATGTGTTCCATGTCATCCAACTGCCCAGATAGACGCTAAGGGGACACTAGACAAGCTTAGATAAAAGCCAAGATCTTCAATCTTGCTGAGGTCCCTTCTTGCTATATGATGTCAGGCAAATGGAGATTTGCTCCTGACAAATTTTAAGTGAAAGACAGCAAGAAAATGCCATTAGGTAGCCTTATTTCTACAAAGACCTCCTTCTCACCCTATTCCACATGTCTGCTAAGGAGAAAAGAGCTGAGGCACCTTCCTTCCCCAGCATCCAGGCGCGAGCCATTCACCAGGTGGATGTCAGGTACTCCTGATTGTACTGCTGTCTTCATGGGAGCACTGAGATCTAAATGGATATGAGAGAGGAGCTGGCCTCTGCCCTCCCAAGTCTCTCCCTCAGGTCCAGCAGTGACACCAACATTGTGTGTGTGTGCAGGTGGACGTGTGTTTGTGTGTGTGTGTTAGCGGCAATGAGAACTCCATCTGTCAACTCTCATATCCATGAGGTCCCCAAAGCCCTGAGAGTTTGTCTTGCCACAGCACTGCCATCAGATGTGCCGAACATGCTGAAGCATTCTTGGTTCCCAGACAATTGGGTTTCATTATTTGCAAGATATTGTGAAGAATGTTGACATTTCAGCTCCCAGCGGTTTTTCTTTAAGAAACACAGAGGCATAAATGATCGATTCTCTGTTTGGCTACCTGCCCAGGAAAGTCAGAGACAGAAAAGTACAAAATGCCTCTTAGCTTTGCAAAAATGCCCACTTGCTCATGTTGGGCCATATGAGAAATTGAAGAAAAAAAAATCTGTTTTCCTTGGCTCGATTCTCTGAAGCTGGTGTGTTTTAGTTAGAGTTTTCTCTTGGACTGTAGAGCTCTGAGAACGGATTTGTGTTGTGGGTGTGAGTGGCCCATTGCCTGTCAACCAGCAAAGCGTCCACATCAACATCATCACTGTTGCTGTCATTATACTTAACGTTTAGCCTACACAGCACATCTACATATCTCTGTTTCTCTCTTTTGAGATAAATATTAGCCTTTCTGTTTTGTACATAAGAAATCTGAGGTTTAGAGGGTTAAGGTATTTACCCCACAATCTTCATTCAATGTGATAAGACCAGAATTCAACCCCAGATCTCCAGAGGTCTTGTGTTTGGCAAGACAGAGTTTAGTACTTAAGTATAATCTGTTTTGTGTTTGTGTTGTTTTTATCTTGGTCCCCCAAGTAGATTTTAGGCTCACACTTGTAAGCTACCACCCACTAGCCACACATCATTGACTTTAGAAGTAGGCAACTTTCAGAGATGTTGGACAAATGGTGGTGGTTAAAGCAATGGGAGGAGATGGGGTCTTCAACTATGGTGCCTGGAGAGCTAACTGCAGAGCCCTCTGGCTGTCATTCGGGGCCCTAAAAGGTACAGAATCCACCCTGGAGAGATGAGCTATGACACATGAACGAAGCAGCTACTTGCAAAACGTGGGTGAGGGCAAGGTTGAGGTAGCAATTCACAGGTGGTGAGACACCTCAGTCGAGCAGTAGTGGGGAGCATTACTACTCCTAGGAAAAAACCCGGGGAGAGAAGGAAGGATTGATAAGGAAGTCTCCTTCCCCCTCCTCCAAATAAAGCTACCAGCAGAGATGTAGATCAGGAATGAGAAGGAAGTGGAGAGACGTCTGTCTCCTTGCACCTGACGGTTTTCTTCTTCTACCCTCTAGCTTTGTATATGTATCTTGTGATTAGAGTTCAACCGGAAACAAGGGAGAAAGACGCTCAGGAGAACAGGGGATGCAGTACACAGGATTCTGCCTCTGGCACAAAGCAGGGTAGATAAAGATACTTGTGTTCCATTTTTTAACTGGAAAAAATGAAATTTAGGATGTATGTTCCCCCCTAAGATCCCAAAGCTGATAACTGGCAGGGCTGATTATGGAGACTAGGCTTATTATGTGGGCATTCCAGAGTATCATCCTAAAGTTCTCAGCATTTGTGCATGGAGCCTGTTGTGTTGACACATGTGCTTTATGTGTTCTGTGGAGATCACAGTCATAACACCGTGTAGCACTCACCTCGCTGGATGAGCTCAAAGCCCTTTTATGTACTTCATCTGTCTGATTCTCAAAGCAACACCTGAGCTAGACAGGACAGTCTGTTCATCCTCCACACAACCCCTGACCACTTTTCTCTGTGTAAACTTCTCCATCAACACCTGGCCCTTTGACTTTCTTTGGGGAGCTTATAACAATCACTTTACATTTTGTCTTGCACATGGTACTGCTTAATAAAATAGGTTATCAGTACTAGTAATGATGATAACTTATTTACTAATTTTTCCCTGCACACTGTGACATTTCATAGTTCATTTAAGTGCCCTGGAATTCTTAGGAGGTAAGAAATGGGATCTTGTCCTTTAGGAGGTCCTCTTTACTGCTGAGTTTGAACACTGGTGCTTATACCAAGCTCTTCATTTATGGGAAAGTCAGAGTTACACAGAGAGAGGAGAGACAGAGAGAGAAGTCTTCCATCTGCAGGTTCACTTCCCAAATGGCCATAATGGCCGGAGCTGAGCCCATCTGAAGCCAGGAGCCAGGAACTTCTTCTGGGTCTCCCACATGGATGCAGGGGCCCAAGGCCTTGGGCCATCTTCTACTGCTTTCCCAGGCCATAGTAGAGAGCTGGATTAGAAATGGAGCAGCCAGGATGTGAACCGGCTCCCATATGGGGTGCTGGCACTGCAGGCGGTGGCTTTATCCACTGTGTCACAGGGAATCAGAAAGATCACTGTTGGAATTACAGCAGTCTGACTTAGCTCCTTTAGGTTTGATGAGATCATTCATCTCCTGACCTTTTGGTGTGCTCAACTGTAAAATGAGAGAGAATCTGTCATTCCCAGGATTGTGGCACGGTCTATATTATATGACATATAAGTGGATTTCTAGTATAAAGTAGATACCAAAGAAAATATCTGATCCCACAACTTCAGGTTCCCAAAAGGGCCTCACTGGGTCAGCTGCCTGAGACTAAACACAAAGCCCCAAACAGTCCCAAATCTACATCTTCCCGCTCCCCAGTCAGGGCTGTCTCCTGGACTTCTGTTTGCTCTTTGTATTGGTGATGAATAATTCTGTGAGGAGATGAGCCTGTGGGGAGGTGTGCTGGTGGGCCCTGCCTGGACTCTGTGCAGTGTTTCAGAGCTTGGCTCAGAGTCTTGTCTCAGAACTTACGCCCTGCAAAGAAAAAACTGTGTGGATAGTGCTCCTGTCTTCAATTTGCCACATAAAACTGCCACCAGCAGCCTTAAGTGGGATCTCCTGCAACAGGCATGCTGGCTGTATTTTGCCAGGGAGTTGCTTTTATATTTTTGAGAGGCAGAGAGACAAATACAGAGGGATCTCCCATCCAGTGGGCATCACCAAATGCCCACAATGGCAAGGAATGGACCAGTCCAAAGCTAGGAGCTGAGAACTCGATTCAGGTCTCCATATGGGTGACAAGAACTCAGTTATTTGAACCATCACCTGCTGCCTCCCAGTGTCTACGTAGATTAGCGGGAAGCTGAAGTCAGGAGCCGGACCCAGAACTTGAATCCAGAACCTGTGATATGGGACATGGGCATCTTAACTCTGAGGCCAAACACTTCTCTACCAGGAAATTCTTTGGTAGCTACTTGGTGGGACCAGCAAGAAACGGGGGCCTTAGTGTCCAATTAGCACTTCAAAGAGTTTATGGCTAAATAGTACTAAAATATAATTTTCTGCAAAAATTTTAAAATCCATGCCTAGCATTTTCATAATATGCATAATAATTTTTGAAGAACCCTTGTATAAGCCAGGAAGTGTTGCCATTTGATGTCCCAGGAATTCTGTGAGTCAGGGATTGTCAGGACTGTCTTGGAGATGGAGACATTGAAGCTGTTCTTCCTGGTGAAAGATGCGACCCTCTCCCCACCTTGTCCTGTGGTGTGTTCCCCAAGGAATGAATAAAGCAAGAAGGAAAAGCTTGCTCTCCTTCAACGCGGTTCATCCCATCCTTTCCATTAGGAGGGGTTTCTAAACCCATGCATGCCACTGTCACAAAATGCATGAGACGGGGTAATTTATAAACAGCAATGATTTATTTCCTTCTGGTGTGGATGCTGTGAAGTCCAAGATCAAGACGCCAGCAGGGCGAGTATCTGGTGATGGCCTTGTCTGTCTCTTTCCAAGACAACACCTTTTTGCTCCATCCCCCAGAGAGCACAAACACTGTCCTCACATAGAGTAAGGATGGAAGGGAGGGAAGGCAGAGGAACCCAACTCCTTCAAGTGTCACCGGGCCATAATCCCATCAATGAGGGCTACTCCTACAGCCTCCTTTAATACTCTCACAATGGCCAGTACGTTACAACAAGTGAATCTGGGGATACATTCACTGTTCTGTCTTTGTGGGGTCAAAGGTCAGGGTGAAGAGGATCAGCAGCAGATGTTGTTTTAGTCCAAATCTTAGCACAGAACACAGATTTCCAAGTCAGGTTTCTCTGGGTTCAACATTGCTCATCCACCTTAAGTCAGGAGAGCCTGTTCACTCCTCTTGGAGTGTCTGCTTGGTGCTGGGCTCGGCTTTTGGCACTGGGCACGTGGAATGAGGGCGGGAAGCACCAGGAGGAAAAGCAAAGGAGGAAAATGAATGGGATACGGTCTGGCATGAATGTTGTGCTATGTTGGTGTGCTGGATAAGGGAGTGAGAAAATGTGACCCTGAACAGAAACAGGAACTACCCCTGGGATTCCAAAGACATACTTGGGGCATTTTTTTTCCCATGCTCCTTAAAAATATTGCGCTGACATTCATGAGAAGCAAGTAGTACATTGAAGAGTCCAGAAACTATTAAATAGGAGAGTGGCAGGAGCTTAAGAGGCAAAGGACTTTGTTTTGGATATGACTCACTCCCCAGCCATGTAGTCATTGGAGGGAGGGGTCTTATGTCAGTGAGTAGCAGCCCTGAGAGTCTGAATAGGGAACAATGGGCAGGGGTGATGGGGAATGAGATCTTGGCTTCCTAGAATGAAGAATGTAAAGAAGAATTGCCCCCCTGGCCGGCCCCATGGCTCACTTGGCTAATCCTCCACCTGCGTTGCCTGCACCCCAGGTTCTAGTCCCGGTCGGAGTGCCGGATTCTGTCCTGGTTGGTCCTCTTCCAGGCCAGCTCTCTGCTGTGGCCCGGGAAGGCAGTGGAGGATGGCCCAAGTGCTTGGGCCCTACATCTGCCTGGGAGACCAGGAGGAAGCACCTGGCTCCTGGCTTCAGATCAGCACAGTGCACCGGCCACAGCGTGCCGGCCGTGGCAGCCATTTGGGGGGTGAACCAACGGAAAAGGAAGACCTTTCTCTCTGTCTCTCTCTCTGTCACACTGTCTAACTGCCTGTCCAAAAAAAAAAGAAGAAGAATTGCCCCCCAGCACCAAGAGTTTGGAGAGTTGAGCTGTGGCCTCAGTGTTCTCACTAATTCTCTGTGTCATCTCAAGACTGCTGTCTATATTTCAGAATGTGTTTTTTTTTTTCTCATGTGTCAGCTGAAGGGCTTGGGTCAGTTATTTTTAAGATTTCCTCTGGCTTTAATAGTCTATACATCTATGAGTGTACAATATGACCTTGCGAGTGAATTGGTGACTTATGAGGGAGTGCATTTCCTCCTAGTAGATATCCAAACAGGAACTGGACCACAAACTTTAATGGACATTCATTCATTTACTAGAAGAAATTAATTTTATTAGTATTTGGTACGGAGTGCTAGGTACTTCACATAAATGTTCATTTAGTTCTCTCACCCATGCAAAAAGAGTATTTACACTTGGAGAATTAGAGAAGTGGAACTAAGTATGAGTTTAAATAATTTGTTCAGGATCACACGGAACAAGTAGTATTAGATATACTAATTCTGCAGACAATTTCCAGTACCCAAATTGAGGATAATCAGACAGCCTCAAGAGTATGAACCTCCCTCATGCCCCTGGACATACGTAGAATTCTCTAATGCCAACTGTTCCCAGAAACAGAGGCTGGGAACAGACTATGCTAAGAACAGCACAACTTACTTTTATCTCCTGGAAATACTAGGTCAATATTATTTTAGACTTTTGTCCTCCTAATAGGGCAGTACCATAACTGCTGAGAACCAGCTTAATCTTGCCACCCAGGACCCCCAAGACAACTAAAGATGGCAGCAGCCCATGAATGTGGAGCCCTTGAATGACCTTGACTCTTTGATTACACCGTAGTATGAAGCTCATGGCCACTGAGCCTAATTGAAAAAGGGGGTGCCTTTACTCTTAACTTGAGTTGTATCAACTTTGGAGGAATGCTGTATCTACACATTCATCATTCATTTAACAGTTACTTGCAAAAACTCTTCCTGTCCTCCAGAGGTTGCCATAAGCATTAGGGATAAAGCAGTGAGCAAAGTCACAGCCCTTCCTCTTAGGAAGTTTACTTTCTCTTTAACTCATACACTTACCTTCACTTTCAAAAAAAGTTGAGAATAGTAAATAAACAGGTATCTTGGTGAGTGGAATGCATTTTGTAGATATTTTCCCTGGAAGCACAGGAGGGACAGGGGAAAAGGTAATGGAGAATCTAAATGAATTTGGATCAAAATTGCAAATAATAGGGATATCACCATAATGATCACATCTTTCCAAATGTAATTAGCACATACAATGTAGCTTCAGTTTTCATTTTCTTTTATTTTCTTTCTAATCTGTAAAATTGATTTGCATGCAAACTTTTTTCCAGAAATATAAAAATATAGTCATATCTAAGCATATATCTAGCAATTCACCTTAATTTAAAGAATTAAAGCCATATCCAATGGAGAGATTAATACAAGGACTGTGTTGTGTCTATCTTGGGATCCTCAACTCTGATTCAGGTATCTAGGGAGCAGGCAGGCCTTGGATCAATTTTGGTTCATCAAATGAATAAATGTTCAAACGCCCCGTTTATACAGTGTTAGGATGAGTAGAACAAGTCGCACCCAAATGCATTAAGATGAGTAACTCAGAGCGTAGGGAAGTATAGCAGGCGAAGGGAAAGGACTGTGCATGATTGGTGGTATCACTTGATGGTATCTGGCATGCCTTTGGGAGCAGAGGGAATTTTCAAATGAAAACACTGAAGTAAAAACCATGTCCTCCCTTTCAACAGGGCGTTGTTGCTGGCGCTCGTTCCAAAGGGGAACACAAACAGAAAATCTTTTTAACCATCTCCTTTGGAGGAATCAAAATCTTTGATGAGAAGACAGGGGTAAGTAAAAGAATCACATGGCATTGTGAAATGGAATCCATTGACAGGCGTACCCTTAAAAGCCTCTGCTCTCTGGGCAGGAATATCAAACAAGCATAAAAACACATAAAGCAACTGACAAATTTGATCAACTGTGATCGTCCATCAAAGAGGGGCTCTTTGCTGACTTGGCCACAGTGTGACTGCACTGTGATTCTTGCAGTGTAATTGTGACAAAAGTGTCACACCGTCCTGGTAATCTAATGGGAGATTGATGAGCTTTGAAGAGCAGTGGGGCGACATGACAGTTTAAGTTAAATTTCTTTGTGTGTTGGCAACTTTAATGACGTGCTTCCTAGAGGGAGATACATGTAGGTCTTTTGACTCCGTCAAAGCATCCAGACTCTCTTGAGTTTAACCTGTAGCACCTTGCAATTGCCGTAATCAAAAAGAACAGAATTCTCAGCCTTAAAAAAAAAATCTATTACAACACGGCCAGGAAATGGAAGGGCTGATAAGTTTGTTGAACCCACCAAAGGCACAGTTTGTGTTTTCATCAACCTCACAGCTGCAATTAACTCCCAGAGTCATCCACAGAGCTCACCTGACACTGTTGGTCCTGTTCACTGATGGGAAGAGAAAAACAGGAAAATGTTCCATGATCTGTTGTGTCAAGAAAGTGAGAGTCCAATGATGTGTTTTTCCTTTTTTTTGTCTAGCATGTTGCAGGTTTATCAAACACCTCCACACTTATCACCTCCTTTTTAACTTCACAAAGGTGACTTATCAAGCACTTCCTAAGTGATTTTCAACCCACAAAGTTACTTGGCTTTGGTCATTTGCATCCTTGTTCTGGGTATTATTAGGGTAATGTAAAATAGTAGGATTGCAACTTAAAAGTGAAAAGGACTTTACTTGAAATTAAAAAAGGATAGAAGTATTACTCCTAAATAGCTAATGATAGAACAGATATTTGTACACCCATAGTTATAGCAGCATTGTTCACAATAGCCAAAAGGTAGAAGTGATTCAGATGTCTGCTAATGGGCAAACAAAATGTAGTGTTTGCATACAGTGTTATACAACGAGCCCTGAAATGAAAGGAGAGTCTGATAAGCACTACAGTGTGGGTGAGCAGTGAAGACATTATGCTGAGTGAAATGAGGCAGGTACTGTGTATTTCTGCTTAGAGGTATCTGGAATAATCAGAATCTTGGAGACAAAGTAGAATGGTGGTTGACAGGGGCTAGGGAAAAGGAAGCAGGGGGAGTTACTGTTCAGTGTGCTCAGAGCTTAAGTATGGAAAGATGAAAATGCTTTGGGAATGGTTGTAAAAAATGTGAGTGTACTTAATGTCAATGAATGTACACCTAAAAATAGTTAAAATGGTAAATGTTATACTCTATATATCACCACAATAAAAGTAAGAACTGCTAAAAGTAGCTCTCATTTATTGAATACCTTCTGTATATGAAGTGTGTAGTAGTCACTTTACATACATTACTCAGTTTCATCTACCCCATACCATGAACAAAAAAAAAAAAAATAGCTGCTTCATCAAGTACATGTTACATGACAAGCATTGTAAGTGCCAGGTCATTTAAACCTCACAACAGCCCTGGAAAGTGGGTGCTGTTATCATCCCCATTCTATAGCTGAAGATATCAGAGCAGAAAAGTGCATGCACGTGGTGGCAGAGGCACATTAGAACCCAGACAATCCAATCCGCAGCATCTCTTAGCTCCCAAGGGACGTGGCCATCCCAAGATCACCTGTATTTTGTGCTTTTTATGAGATGATCAGTCAGGTGCAGCAGTAAGATGGGGCACAAGAGATATTCAGGGGATGAAAGCTCATTGTACTTCTGAGTCCTAGAGATGGGTGCCACCATAGGCCACATGGCAGAGTTATCAGAGGGCTCAGGAGACCACACACGGGAGCAAAGGGAGCATGGGGGTTTCCATGGAAAGTGAAAGGTAGAGTAGGGTGAACAGTTTACTCTTGGCTGGTTTGCCTATTTTAATCTAATTGTAAATTATAAAGGTGGTTCCATTGGCCTGGCCCCGAGCTGTGGGATGATTTAAGGCGGTGGAATATTGCCTTGTGTGGTATGTGAGCCAGAGGAGATATGGCTCCATCTGGGTTCTTTGCTGTGTCTAAGACTTGGCTAGCCATGAGAGGGGCAGTCTCTCCCCAGTCAGGAAGATTTTTTAAGATCCTAAATGTCTTAATATACAGAAAATTTTAAATATATACATATTTAAAATTAACCCATCATGTAAGAGGTAGAACTAAGGATGAAAATTAGTGTGATTTTTATCATATAGTATGGAAAAGGTGAACCTATCTAGGGATGCCTTGGTAGAAAGGAATGTAGAAGGAGGGCATGAGCGTTGCCAGGAAAGGGCTTGGATTCAGCAGATGGAGAGCCTCTCCTGCCTCCTAAGAGCGTGGTTTCAGAACCCACGGAACTGGGAGACCCGTGCTCAGTGTGGCCACCATAGTGTTCGAAGGATCTTGGTAAACTAAAGTATATGCTGAGGAGGAGACCAGGGCAGATGGGGAACTGGACACTGTGCTGAGCCAGGACTTCTTGCAGACAGGGCCTGGATACCACACAGGAGGTGGAGAACGCTGGGCTTCTACCAACTTGGAGGATATTATTATTGGTCCTTTAGCTCCCTGTATGGGAGCCACATCATGTGGCTCAAGCCTAACTGAGATGTGCTTTCACAATGATTTATATGCCCCAGTGGTCTCTTCCCAATGCCAACATGTCCATCACCATGACAACTGGCATAATCAAAGAGACAGGACAGGATCAGCAGCAGCATGGGATACCTGACATTTTCTCTTGCCCAGGGACATGTTTTGGGCCTTGATATTCCGGCGTGTATCCCACCATCAAATAGGCCATACCCAGATAAAATGGTGAATGTTATGTTCTATATATCACCGCAGTAAAAATAATAACTAGTAATAGCAACTCCCATACGTTGAGTACCTTTTGTATATGAGGTGCATAGTAATCACTTTACGTATATTAATCACCAGGATTTAACTAATGAGCACAGCTAAGTTTGTATTCTTTACCTCCTTATTTAGGATGGCTAAACTGTCCCCAGAAAGATTTCAGCAAATCTTGTAGCACTGTTTTGATTCTGTAGCTGGACACAAAGAAAACAGGAGTAAAATCATCATTTCAGCCCAAAGCCCTCTGTGTTTGTGGAGAAAATGTAAGATCCTTCATGGAGAATCTGGAAGGAAACAAAGCTACGTGTTTTCTGCGTGGCTTAGTCTACTGCAGTTCTTTTTGTTTAACAGTAGACCTCTGCACCATACCGCTGTACAATCGTAGCTTTGTAATGTGCTTCAGCACAATTCTGGTGAAAGGGGAGAAAGTCACTGCACGTGGTTAAATCCAAGGTTGGGATGATAGGCATCAGGGCACCTCTCAGTGGTTGTTATTATACCTCCATGGAGTTGTCTAGTAGAAGGAGCTGGCTTATTCTATGTGGCCTCAAGAAATGGAGCCATGACCAGACAACAGACGTTTCTAGGAGGCAGTTTCAGCTTATTGGTAAGAAGTCAGAGCTGTTCACAAGGTGGATGGGCTGCCATCTGTGTCAGTGAGTTCCCCTTCACTGGGGATATTCAAGCATTGACCTGTGACGGGATAATGTTGAAGGGAAGCAGGTACAGGATGAGGTATTGAACAAGGTCCAAGTTGATTTCTGAGATGAATTTTAAGTTTCTGGTTTCTCCCTTAAACCTCTGCCTATTGATGTTTTCCATGTGAAAAGCCTCCCTTGGTTTTGATGAGTAGGAATGGTTTACTAAACCTTTGTCATTGCCCAGCGGGGGACTGACTGCATTGTTCAGGATGGGAGTTTAAGTGAAGTATTTTGCTCTACACATCAAAGAAATGGAAAACTGGGTCTTTGTCATTCGGAATGACAAATCTTCATTGTTTATCTTGTCTAAGGTATTTTTGCTCAAGCTTCACTGCACATTTTTTTAAACCCAGAAAAAGAAACATTTGCAGAATGCAACAATAGCTAGAATTTTAAAACCCAAAAGCTGTCAAAAATGTTTTGATCCCAATTAAAGAGACCCTTTGCAGCAATTTGCACTCTGTCTTGAATTTCAAAGAACTCCTGATCCCAAGCTTTATAGGAATAAATTCTGCTCCATTATTAGTGTGTTGGAGGGAATAAATCAATATTGAAAGTTGTTCATGTTCTCAGATATTTGGATATTGCTAATCTATCAAGGATGTCAGTGAGAGTGCAGACAGTGTCATACATAAACATTGTTATTAGTAACAGTAGGAACAGTAGCAAATCAGGAAATGGTTTTCATGTCAAAATTTGATCAGGGCCTCAGACCAGACCAGTGGACAGCATGGCAGCAGAGGTGTTGTCTTCATTCTGGATTAAAAGAACAGGTTCTGGAAGTGACCTTGACCTGGCTGTATACTCAGAACAGACTTACCAGCTGGAAGACCTATGTCTTTTTCAGTGAACCTCACTGACTCACTTCTCTCTCCATTTACAATTTTATTCCATAAAATCATTATAATTTTATGGCATAAAACATGATATATGCCACAGTATCTTACATATAAGTCTGATTTTTAGGATGGATGACAGTGATCTGGATCAGCTCTCAAGATGTTTCAGTAACCTTGTTGTCACAGTCACTCAAGAATGCTGCTCATTTGTTTGAGTGAGCCTACACTTACTATCACTACTGTGTACCATTCGTAACCATATTACAACAATTCCACAAAGTACAAGCAGACACTATTATCACCATTTTACAGGTGGGAAAGCTGAGGTCTAATAATTTAAGTCCTATAACAAATCTTATAAATAATTTCCTATAAATGCATTCACATAAGCTCAGTATTATCACTGTCATATGAACACTCTTAGTCACTTTCTTCCTGCAGAATGTTCCCCAGTGAAGATAAAAGGGGTGGATTTGGGGGGTAGGCATGGTTAAGGATGCTTACATCC